ATGAACCCTTGATGACTCCGCTCAATTTTGTGGATGCCCCTGCAAACGCCACCTAGTTTTATATACACTCAATTATATTCACTTGGTACCTACTCCACCTAGTTATTAAATGTTACTATCCAAGCCTAAGTGCACGTTTGTTCATGGTTTGCCTTGATTGGTGCGTGCGCTCTTCAACCTACCAAGAAATAAGGCTTCTTGAGCCACCTGGAAATCAGACGAAATTATTCCAGAACTCTTGCACAATAGATTTGTCAACTATCAATCTTGATTCTCTGTCTATTATAGTTTGAATAGATGACTCAAATCGTAGTCTAAAGTCTGATTGGTGGATAATGTTATAAATTATTCAACGTGCTCGTTGCAAGACAAGACTGCTTTCGGTTACCGTACCGAACAACGATAAATAAGCATGTCTAATGCCAGTAAGTAGCTGGTCTTCGTCAGTAGCAGAGTTGCCATTTCGACCATTCAGAAGTTATATTGGACCTGAATTACGTAACTTCATCTATCAATGTTGTACTTATTAAAAACAAAAAAAAAATACTCTAACCACCACATACAGAGTGATTGATATAAGTGTGCCAGCCGTTTTATTCGAAAACCATAAGAGATATAAAAAAAGTTAAATGGTAAGTGCTTTGGATTTTTTATTTAAAAAATTGTAGTCAAGTTGAAAAAATATTTTAGCCGCAATTTTTCCAATATGGCCACCAACATGGATTTTTCTTATGGAACACCCTGTATTTTATGATGTTTCCGGTAGAAAATGTAATTTTAAGACGATTTTATTCTTGTGATTTTTTTTTATAAACCTAACCGTTTCAAAGATAATTTTGGTTAAAGTTTTGAAATTTCGGCATGAGAAAGAGTTTCGATAAAGGCCTAAGCAAGCATGCTAGCTGTTTTATTCGAAAACTATTTGAAATTTACAACTTAAACCATTATTATCTTTAAAACGGTTAGGTTTATGAAAAAAATCACAGGAATAAAACCGTCTTAAAATTACATTTTCCACCGGAATACATCATAAAATACAGGATGTTTCATAAGAAAAATCTAAATTGGCGGCCATATTGGAAAAATGGCGGCTAAAATAATTTTTTCGACTTGACTAAAAATTTTAAAATAAAAAATCCGAGGCACTTACCATTTAACTTTTTTTTATATCTCTTATGGTTTTCGAATAAAACGGCTGGCACACTTATATCAATCACACTGTATAATAAGGTTATACACCTTATCACTATGTAAAAGAGAATGTATGGACAACTGCTTTGTTACCAGCCTTCCGCAAGTATCCGATATTAGATTGAAAGAGTCCACTAGTAAGAGAGTCAAGAGTCAATTAGTACATCTTTTTAACCGACTTCCCCACTACCAACAAAAGGAGGAGGTTCTCAATTTGTTTGTGGCGATGTTTTTTTTTCTATGTATGTTCACCAATTTCTCTGTGATTCTTTTACCGATCAGTGTGGTTCCACCACCAAAATAACCAGGAGAGTTTCTATTTGGTACCTTATATATTATGTTTAAGTATAATATTTGTTTCGGTGAAAAATTCTGAAAACCTTAAATATTCAACATTTATTTTGTTTACATTTGTGCAGATTGTTTACATTTGTGCAGAGAAGGCAGTAAATAATAATAACATTCCTACAGCTGTTAGTTGAAACCATTTAAATGAAGCTACAGACAACTCTTCATGAAACAGTTGCTTCATATTGATCAATAAACTATTTCTTGCCATGGAGCCTAAATGAATTTCATTGAGAAAAATGCATTTTGTTTTGGTTACTATAAAAAATGTATTTTAACGTTTGACCAGATTTGTGTATACAGTAATTCTGTTTTTAGTATTGAATATTCTGACTTAAGTACATAATCGTCAATTGTCTTAAAAGTGTTAAATATTTTAATTACTAAACATGCATTTGCAGATGTGGAATGTTTATTGATATTCTCTACCCAGTTACTATATCATATCAATACTATTATGCCTGCTTCGGAAAGTCCTAGAGGAAGATGATTTGCAATTTCGACTAGGCTATATCTTGAGCAAACAAAATCCCCTACATGACTTACACCACATTTAGCTGAACCAATCTTTCATATAATATTTTCCAAAGGTACTATGGTGTTAACAACCAATTTTCCACTTTTGAGAGATTTTTTAGTGCTGGTAGCTGAGGAATAACTTTCATATTGTTCCAAAAGGCTTGAGACGTTACTGTATTTCTTTTTATAATGTAGATTATAGTATTTAGAAGTACACCGATTGCAGGAAACGATGATGTCTGACATTTCAATGTATCTAGAAAAGACAATTAGTTTTTCACTAGGCCTAATGTAATGGACAACTCTTTCTTTCTTAAGGAATATCTAAAGTTGTTTATTTTCATACCCATTGATTATGTAACCTGAACAGGTGACTAATGATTGTTCTGTGGAACTTTTGATTGTTTCAAACAGTTTTGCTTATCAAAAATCCTCAAGTAATTAATATATAAAAAATTATACAGTCACTAAAAATCATGAAATAATTTATTTTTGTAAAAAAATACAACCGACTTCAAATGCTCTAAAAAGAATGAAATAATTTCAATAAAGTAAACTTTTGTATTAAGCAAGCTCACGTATTTCAAGTCGGCGCGGCTCAAACTGCAAATATGATTGAAATTAAATATTGTGTGTGTGTTTTGAAAATCAATAAATTGTAGCTGGATAACATAAATATATAAAAAAACATACTGAACAGTTTTGTTTATATATTAAAGGAAATATTTTCTTGTATTTTATGTTTACTTCAGAATAAATGCATTATAAAAATAACACACACAAATGTTCTATATGAATAGGAAAATAATTTAGTTTGATATTATGATAGGGAAAAGAAGCCGTTAATACCACTATAATGCCGATCTCTGATTACGGTAATAAAATAACACTTAACGCATAACTATGAGAAAGACATGCAGATTAACGCCTTTAGTTATAGATAGTCACCTGCAATATGGACACCCTCTTTCAATTTTGTATCAAAAATCATCATAGAGCCGCGCCAACTTAAAATACGTGAGCTTGCCTAATACAAAAGTTTACTTTATTGAAATTATTTCATTCTTTTTAGAGCATATGAAGTCGGTTGTATTTTTTTACAAAAATAAATTATACCTGTGTGATTTTATTTGTCGTCATATTTCACCACAATTTAAGCAAACTAAGCAACAAAAAGAAAACACTTTTAATATAATGATAGCCTCTCAAAACAACTACCAACTTGTTTTAAATTTTGCTATTGAAAACAAGCAGCTGTTAGTAAGTGATTCAATAATTTCGTCTTTGATTTAATTGTGTTGGTGTATATTATGATATCATCACACACTCAACTCCATTCATACTTGGCTTAAAATACCTACTTTGTATGGTCGCCATTTCATCGAAAAGTATAAAAGTAAAGTAAAGTAAAAGTATCGATATGTTAAACTATTGCCAAGAAACCGATGAAAATAATCGACAAATAATTACGATACATGCAATTGATGCTACAACATCTGATTGTTACTCTCTAGGGATTAAATACCCCTGCCGCAGCAAACCTACAGACTTAGCGAATTTCCATTTGCCTCATTGGATTTACACTGTCTCCTTAAATATATCACATTTATTCCCTATTTAAATAGAGTTAGTTTAACGAGTTCTTAGGTTTGCTGCAACAGGGAGGGTAAAAAGTGTTTTTTAATGTAAAATGTTCATAGGTACTGTAGTTTGGTAAGAAATTAATGTATTTTCCAAATTTGATAAAAATATGTTCATAAATAAGCAACCGCAGTTGACTTATTCTCCATAATAACATGGGAATTTTAAAATTACAATTTTTTTGAATTTTCTCCGTAACCCTTAGGCGCATAATAACGCTTCAATATACTAAATTATTTGTTTCTTTAAGCTCTACATAATGGTTTGGAAAGTAATTGTGAAATTTTGTGTTTTTAGGGTCAAAAATGGGAAAAACCTATTTTTACCCCATAAAACCCCCCATAAACCCCCGTTCCCATAGTCCGATCATGCTGGTTCGCGAACTCATTCAAGTTTATCCTTCTTTACACCTTCAAACCATATTTCATAAAAATCCGACAAAAATTACTCAAGTTATCGCGTTCACGGACATATATATATATAAATCTATATATATATATAAACATTTTAACGAATGGTGTTTTTGGCCTCTGGGGATATCAAAATGAAAAAGTAAATCGGTCTTGGGTCTAGGTCTTACCATGCCACCTACGGTAATAGCTTTCTTCCCTATAGGGAAATTCGCTAAAAGGGTTTATACTCCCTAGGGAGTAAAAGAGTTACATTAGACCTTTAACGCATGTATAAAAACGGCTGTTTTCTTCAGTACGACTGGCTGGGTAGCTGAGTGGTTATAGTGCTCGCATAGTAATCAAAAGGTTGCCGGTTCGATCCTGAGAAAATTCAGTAGCCTTTTGATGGTTCGAAACTGGACCCAGCTGTTCCTGATCATTGGGCTTTAAATAAATGATCCTGACTAACGAAACCGCTGATCTTAGTCAGTAACAAAGTTACACAGGTCATAACACACCATTCTACACTCATCCTTCACTCATATTTGGGTTAAAATACGCACCTAAGTGGCTTCCCCGTCTCAATGATTGATAATGATAATTGATAATTGAAATATAGGCTGGGCGCTACTATTTATTTAACAACCACTGCTAAAGCTGGATGTCTGGACAAACATTATGGATGAAACCCGTCACTCTTGGTGTTTTTAAATTCTTTTACTTACTGAGGATTTATTCTGTCAAAAAGGTACTAACTTATGAATTTTATAATTATAAATTTATTTTACATCTATTAAATAATCCAAATAAAAACACGCCTATGTCATGAACTAATTCATGAATGCATAATTAATTGTTAGATATTGAAACACAGTTGCATAAAAGGAAAGAGGTAATAGAGAAAAACGATTACAAAAGTCAGTCGTTTATTTACTAACTAAATAAAGAATAACAATAAAATATTTACAACAGACTAGCGTAGAGTATACTGTGTCTGAATGCCACTAATCTAAAATACGGCAATGACTTTCAGCTATTTATTTAGTTCTTCACCTATTCAAGAGAAAATAAAATATCAAACCGTTAAGATTAACATCTCTTCAGTTGAATGGTTGTTAATTAAGTGTTCCACATTTGAAACTATTTTGATGCAATCGTGTAACCAATTGGAATAATATATGATTTTTATACATTTCCTATATCCATGTCAAATTTAGTTAAACATAAATATTTCTCACAGTAGTTTAATCTTTTCTGTGCAAACGTCTTTGAAAATATTAGAGAATAGATTTACTTTGATTAATATGGCATCAAGACTTTAGGACTGCACGGATGAATCTTACTGATTGTAGTTGAATCCCTTGTAGTTGTTTGAGTACACCGGGCTGCTAGTCTGAGTAGGTTGAGCTGAGTAAACTTGGCCTTGCGTCTTCAGAGGAGGAGCGGGCGTGGACTTGACACCAGCGGCGAAGGAGTTCTTCTCCTGCCTCTGCTGGTAGAGAGCGTTGTATGCGTTGTACAACTGTTGTTGGCTGGGCTGCTGGTAGGTAGGCTGGTAGGCAGGGGCTGAGGGAGTACCAGCGTAGACAATACTAGCAGAAGGGAAGTTCTGGGGACGATAAGTCTGCACACTAGGCTGAACTTGCACGTTGTAGTTCAGATCCTGAGAGACTGACTGTAGCCTCGGAACAGTGAATTCTCTTTGAGGTTGGTACCTCTGTGAGGGAACCGGGTAAGGTTGGTATACCTGTGGTACGTATGAAGGATCCGCTGGAACGAAATACGCTTGTATAGGTACAGGAGGAGCTCCAACACCTAGGTGGTTGCTGGGGATGATCATTAGAGGAACTCCTCCGAAGTTACCGTAGGCAAGAGTTGTCGGAGCGAAGTACTGCTGCTGGAGTTGCTGAAGTAGTAGTTGCTGCTGATACGCGGCGAGCTGCTGCTGACTCAGGGACTGCTGAGGGGTTTGCTGAGGCCGCTGGGAGGAGGTAGGGGTGGATGACTGTTGAGAGGTTTTCTGAGCGGCGAGGTTGTCTCTCTCGATGTCCTCCAGACGGATTTGACGGTCGCCTGTGGACGGCCGCTGAGCCAGACATGCCGTCAGCAATAGTAACGAGCAACAACTCCTCAGCATCTGTGGAGACAGAGAATCAGCTGATTAGTAACGTTGGTATAGTCTTGATATAGCGGTGTAAAAATAGACTAGATATACGAAACACGATTGTTTAAGACCACGTATTATTTGCCCCTCTTTTCTTGTTAATCAGCACCACGCCCGTTATGCTCGTCAATCATGACGTCACGATAGAAGACGGCAATGACGTAATTAAGGTTATATTTTTGTTTTCCGTGAAAAGATTAAAACAAGCAGCTGATCACAAACGGCAAAAATACGTCATTGCCGTCTTCTATCGTGACGTCATGCTAGACGAGCATTACGGCCTTTAATGCACACATCACCTGCTACACATTCTGTTGGTAATATTCGTGGTAGTGTTGCATTCTTTAATAAAAAAATAATGTTTTAAGGTAATTCGGGGTTATTAGAATCGCGTGAGTTTCAAACTACTATTTTGCACCGAAGTATTGATATTTTCTTTTAGTTTTACAAGGCAATGGGCTAATTTATTCAGAGCGTCATATATGACATTTTCTGTAAATTTATTCTTATTAGAGTTTTCTTCGGCATTTTAGTTCATTATAAAAACCGTTGTATAATCTTATCCATCGTATAATCTAATCCAGTCTTTAAATATTGTTTGACGCTGATTACAAATGTTGTTCATTTTTTTTAACCTTTTCCTTGTTAGAAACAGTGTAGTTTTACAGAAAAATGCATATAAAACCGCTAGTACAATACAGTACAACTGATAAACTGATATCGAATAAGTTCAACGAAGTGATTCAAACATAAAAATAAAGTAATGCAATCAGAAGGTAGGCCTAAGCCTAAGTTAACACTAGATCAGAGAAAAAAAACTGTGAAACGTGTGTAATACTGAGTAGCTAGGGCAGATTTCAGTTAAAGTCAAAACTATTGAATCATTGTACAGTGTTTACCGAACTTAAAATAGGTGTTTGCATTATTTATTTATGGACCAAATCCTAAATCCCTACATAAAGCCGTTACCACTTAAACAATAGTTTAGTGAAAGAAAACTAAATGTCGGCTGTATCGGCCCGTTTTCAGTTTTGAAAATTATTGATTATATATTTCTTAAGTGTGGTTTCAAAATGGTGGCGGCGGCCATTGAAAGTCTTTAAACTAAAATAATACTGTTTTTAAAACTGTTTCTTAAACTGAAAAGATCTGTTTCAAAATAAGAGAGATAACTCATTCTTAAGATACTACGTACATGAATCAGTTTATTGGGAGACCAACAAATGGAACGGCTGATTGCTTTAGCTTACTAGCAGTGATCTTATTCAATGGCCTGAGATTCGCATGAGCGTCACCTATACATTCTATAAAATGTACTAATGTAAAATTTAAAAGGTACTGCAATTAGCCTAACCAGTTTTTAAGACTCACCTAAATAAAAAGGAAGATCCTTAAAAAACTTAGCCATTATGTTGTTTCTTAAATCAATGGTATATGTGTACAACAATGAGTCAAAGGATATTTTCTACTTTAATTTCAAGAACTAAACGTTTCACTCCCTTGCCCTCTCCAAGCTGCAAACAATGGTTGAATATACACTTATTGTATAGCGGGCAATAAGCACAAGTATTAAAGTTACAAATATACGCCAACGATTCCATACGAAGAAAATGTACTCTGCTAGTGTTGTACAGTATATAACTAGGATTTAAATAATACTTTTTTTTAATTTAACTTTAAAATAACTCAGTTTTGGAAATATTCTGAGGACCATACAAAGATAGCGACAACTAGATAGGATTCGATACAACAAATATTGAGAGGAAAATAAGAATTGAATAATCTTTTGAGGGTGATAATAATAAATAACTAAACCAGAGCACACGTACGTATAGCTTTTATATTTTATTTGAAAAAATGTTCATTGTTGTGATTTCTTTTATACTAATTGTTTTAAAACACCTAGTTAAATATTGTTGATAAAAATGTAACTTAAAGTATTCAAACAGGTTTCAGGATTTGATTGACTAAAATTAATTATGATTCAATGATAAGTGATAATTCAGAAAACCCCCTCATTTTACCACTCTGACCTTAAATTTTTAACTTGTAAACAAAACAATCACTATTTCAGTGCAATTTCAAATAACATCCAAGCCAATTAGTTTATTAAACACTACAAAACACGGGAGAATACAGAGAGAGTAAGTAAACAGAGTGGAAGAGAGCGACTCACCATGTTGGCCGGCAGATGGACTGAAAGTGTAACATATGACGAGAGAGGAAGATTATATAGAGGGGGGCTGTCTCGTCCCCCTGCCCCCTGTCACTGACATGCCCCCCTGTAACTGTGACATTTCTGCTGTCATCGCCCCGGTATTATCTCATGTTACACTATAAGGATACTTATGTATACACTTGTGTATTTTTAAGCTCTACATAAGATGTTATGAAATAATTGTGAGGTGAGCGTATTTATATTATATTTTGTACAATTCAAAAGACTCAAAAGATTAATAATCATATTGGAATTTATATTGATTAAATCAATAATCGTTTGTGTTTATTACTGATTTATTTAATACTAGGAGTGCTGTGGGGTGATTGATATACTTTTGAAACTAAAAAATGTTGATCTGAATATTATTGAAAACATCTGCGTAAATAAATCTGATTGAAGTATTGTTTAGCTTTGTTACTTACCAAGACCACTCATATCTTTCGTTATTACCCTTTCAAAGAATTAATGAAAAAGTCCTTTTTTGTCCAACATTTATATTAAATAAAATATTGCAATGTTTAACATGTCAAGAGTCTAAACCCGTGTAAAACGAACCTAATACAATCACAATTTTAATTATAATGCAGTAGGCCTACCGGTGTTTTAGTAAATGAAACAAACTAAGAAGTTTTACTAACTTTTTAGAATTGGTGCTGTCAACTTGTTATATAAATACAATATGTTAATTTCATGACGCCATACTTATGTGGCTATTGTAGGGTATTTATTATATAGGCAAGAAGCTACAGTTTTGGTGGGGATAAACTAATCGAGTAAACAATACCATTTACCTTTACAGGAAAGCTAAAAGAAACTACAAATTGAGTCAAAAATGACCAAAAGGGTGTTTAAATATTTGGAATGGAAAGTGTAAACTGACTTTCGCGAATCTTCAACATTCCGCGAATTAACGCCATGTTGTACAAACACGCACAGGATAACGTAATTACTCAAACCTCTAATCACCTTAATGTACTGCGTGAGTCGACGACTTGCAGATAAGTTGAAAGCCAACAAAGACAAGTTAAATACAATTTAATGCAAATTGATCATATCAAATGGTCGCATTTTACACTTTTTGTGCTTTATTTGGAATTATATTTTTATATTTTGCAGTTTTGCGAAATCGGAAAAAATACTTACTCCAGTCGATAGGATCAATGTATTATTATTTGTATTCAATTAAGACTATATTAGACTGACTAGATAATTCGAAAATCCTTCTCGCTCTTGTTGCTCCACCTTTCTCTATTATTAACAGTAAAGTAGCTAGCTCAGATCAACTTTAGATGTTAGTATGTTTTGATATTAGTCACTCTAATCCAAATTTAACATTACCTTCTCTCCTGTACTAGTTTCAATAGTTGAGGTAATTGCTTGGTCCAACTCATTATAATATTAAGTTGTTTACATTAGACAAGATAAACTATAAATGTAAATGCCCTCTCTCTAGAATTACTATTAGAGACTTGGGTAGTTTAGAGTAACTGAATATACTCGTTTGTTTTGATACTTTTTAAATAATTTTCAATGAAATGGTTACCATACAAAGTAGGTATTTTAAGCCAAGTATGAATGGAGATGAGTGTAGGATGATTGGCGCGATCTTAGTCTTGTTAGTGACTAAGGCCGACATATTCCTTAGACACAAATAACTTATATACTTTCTTTTGAATTTGTTATTGCTATATTCAGCACGAATGTTAAAAGACGGCCATCATATGTTATTGTGTCCTCTCTTAATTCATTTCATTGCAATCTGGCTATATTAAGCCTAATATAGAACTTAATTAAAATTAAAGTCCATAAAAACATTGTTGAATTGAATCCACAGAACATTTTTTTTATTGTCGTAATTATGTGCTTAATAAAGAGGTTCGGTTTTGTAGTGGCTTAGCGTGCAAGACTTCCCTTCGAGGCCTGATCAATTCTTAGATTTGGTGGTTTGGACCTTCTTAATATGTGGTACGCTAGAAGAAATTTAGAGCCCTTAAGCTATGCATGTAAAACTTATTTCCACAGAAAGCCATAACATAATTGATTTAACAGTAAAATTAAATTATTACAGTTTGTTTTAAAATAAGTTCTATTAAATGCCATCGCGCACTAGTGTAGCGTATTCAACTTTTGATTCCTGATGTCAATGTATATAAGTAATTTATTACTGTTCTTGTAAAACAATTTACTTTACCCATCATGTTACATAACAAACACACTGATCGGTCCATGTATTGGGTGCGCCTCGCGCTGCCCACAATAATGTAACATAGGTCACAGGCTGCTACAGGTTCTGTCTGGCTTCTCCACAGCAAAGGTCACCTGGGCTTCCGGTGGTAGTGGTCCAATAAACAAGTCTGGTCATCTTTACAATCTTTCTCCTCCTTTCTTTCTTTCTGCTGTTCCGCGCGAACAGTTGCTGGTGATCGTGTGTACAATCAGGCAAAACTGTGATTGTGTATTTTTTCGGGAATTTAACATCTTTTAAAATATTACCAGTGAATACATAACATAAAATATTGCAAAAACAGTATTTGGTAAAACCAAGGTATATTACTTTTTTCCATTTTATGATCTTGATGTAGTGTTTATTCGAGTCGCCAAAATACTAGAGCGTATTGAATATGTATAGAGGATGGTGAGATGCAATTTCCTATCCTTAAATACTGTATTGCATAAAATTAATTTAGCACAATTTAATTTAAATTAATTTAGTTCAATGTGAACACTTTTAATAGTACATTTTACTAATGTATTACCATTATTTATTTTACCATTTTTAGAATTTGCAGTTTTTTGTGTGCTCTTTCGAATAATTTAAAGGCTTCCTAAAAATTCTTCGTGTTTAAAAATGTTTTCGCCAATCGTGATAGAAGAATTATTAACCTACGTTTTCATTGTCTGTATGGAGAAAAGAGTTTTTCCAATGAATGAAAGAAAGCCACTAATCAATGATCACTGAGAGATGGAAAGCTCATCGTCCGATCTTCAGGTTCTCACAGTGTCTTCAGGACAAAGGACGAAGGACACGTTCTTGCGTCGCAGGATCACAAGAACCACGTCGCCTGTGTCATTCCTCTGGTGAAATCAGCTGACGGATGTAACGCCCGAAACGTTGTAACTAATCGTGGTTAATACAAATAAAATCAATACATTGTTATTGTCTTGAGACAGTGATAACTGGACAATAAAGTACTCAACAACAAAAAAACTCATGATTTTAGGTAGAGGCATATTTTACAGTGACAAGAGACCAAAGACCCCAAAATTATAGTATAAGAGTAATAGGTATGGGTTTCTTGTATGTTATATTTATATTGATTTTCCAAATACAAAATTCAATTCCTCGTTAATAAATGAAACCATTACTTGGAATCGGTATGTAAAAATACGTGTTTAGCAGTGGTAACTGTGGCAGTAAGTTCTCGGCTAATGTCAAAGAACCGTGAAGAAACTCATGCAATGTTCCATCTGCGTCGTGCTGGCTGGAGCGAGAGTGGCTGTTGAGTGAATTTCATAATGTAATTTCGTATTTTTTATGGATTAGTTAATTTAAATTAAATTAAAATAATTAACGATTAAAACTTAGATTAATACGATACTAATTATACATTTTAACATATTCTTGGGAATCGTTTTGGTGTTAAATAAGTGTTGCACAATATCCCTGATTCTATACAATGTAAAATATTCCACAACTGAAAAGTGCACAAAACACCTAGAGATTTAAACATGCCAATATTTAATTTCTTCTGAAGAAGACTGAAATAGTATAGGAGAGGAAAGTCTAGTGCTTGAAGTGCAAATAAACTCTTGTCGTAGAGGCTCAAAACACGCCATTGCTAGTGGCTTTCAGTTAGGATAATAATGTGACATCTTGGTTCGGAGCCTATCATAACGCATAGTTCTAATTATAGCTAACTAAAATAAAGGTCTGTTAGACCTGTCTCTGCTTCGACGATATTCCTTGACTGAAATCCTCACAAACACTTACAATGATTAATCAATTAATGCAACATATTTTACAACTCCATCGCCTGATATCCTTTTCATGGACGGGTTTCTTTGCAAACAGCTATCTTACTCATCCGTAGGTACTAAGAACAACTCAGTGGTGATCACGTTTAACAGACTTGCCCCCCTCCACACCCCATGTGGGAAGGTGAAACCCTGAGTGCTCTATATGGTGAGAGTATTAATATTGCAAACATCCAAGGAGACAAAACATTATGATGTATGTATATTTGGAGCATTGCTAGACCGACAGTATACATAAGATCATAGTACAATCTTTATTTTTTATCAACCAAGTCTTCAGATAAAAGTCACTGCCTACTCACTGCAGTAATAAAAGTTATAAAAGTCACTGCTTGCTGTGAAGTGCTTCCCCAATCTTCACTGATTAGGCTGGGACGAAAAAAAAATGTTTTCTGATACAGGTTATAAAATAGTGCCTATGAATATAAAGCATACGTATAATAGTACGTCCATTCAAAACGAATTAGTCATACACGTTAAGAAATATATGATAGTTGCACATAACCCACATTATGTAAATAACTCAAGTTTATACATTACAAATAATGTGAACAGTACATTATTAATACGAGTTACAGATAAGCTTCTCAAAGGCCTCTCATTTTAAATTAACAATTTAAAGGAACGTCATAATGTATAGGAATAGGATGAAAGTTCCGTGAGTCGTGATTAATGTATAACATGGTTTGCAGATGAGCGCTTGTTAAAAACTACGCCAGAAAAAGTTAATCTCCTCTTCCTCGTGGCTACATTGTCCGCCACAGGACTTAGTTGTGCTGCAATTATCTACATAGCCTGAATTATTTTGACATTTGGTTACGTGGTCGTTTGGTGAGAGTTTATCTACGTTTTCCTAGAACAGTGTAATTCAAAAATGTTTACAAGACTGACAACGAATATGTAACTCGATAAACAAATATTTTCGTAGAAAATGAAACACGAACATCAACTGCTAATCATCTGTATAA